TGCAGCCTTAAATAACTCTGTTTGTAATGAACACTCAAGCATTGTGCATACTATAATCATGTTCATTTGCTAGACACATTTCAGTGCAGTCTGTCATGTGCACATTCAACTGCCAAAGGAAGTCTGGGCTAGGCCCTGTGCAATATATGCTCCATTTGAACTGTAGACAAGAGAAACACAGAGCACTTCCATAGAAAACAGAAAGATGCCTACAGCACATCAGCAAATGCCACAAAACAGCACAGAGGGACTGTCAAGGGACATCAGCCATCATCTCTGCTTGAATCTTTGTCAGTATTGTGAAGCAAAGAATAGTAGTCTTCAGTTGACTGATGGGTGAATATAACTCATGGAAGCTGAGTACTTGAATCTCATCTGTGCACCTATGGACTTTTTGCTCCATGAATTTATTTTTAATTCACCAAATTAATTTGTTTGTCCCAGGGGCAGCATATTATTGTTAGTTTCATAGAATCTGAAATAATTCTGACACTTGTGATGGACCTCTTGATGCCTACTGCTTATAGTTCCTTTGATTCAATGGCTTTGTTTCTGCCCATTACAAATTTGCAACATGTTTTGGGAACAAATCTTTCAGAAAGGTCATATATGGAACTTGTCAGGGAACTGCCATCAGCTCAGGGGGAAGAGGGGAAAAGGTGTATGGATTACAGAGAGCCCCCAAAGATCGTGGGAAGCAGCACTTCCTCAGTGGAGGAAGGTAGCCACGCCTCTAGTGGAGAGGAGATGCAGGGCTCGGAGGAGGTGAGGCGGTGTCAGGACACCTTGCCTGAGCAAAGCGGGGAGGAGAGAGCTCCCCCGTTACCCACGCCTTCCTTGCGCAGTAGGCTTCCGCGCAGAGAGGGGTGGCGCAGACTGGGCGTCAAGAAACTACTCTGCTGGGGAAGGTTTAAGGACCGCCCACTCTCAGATTCTGCCAGTCAATGAGCAAGACACGGGAATAGAGGTGCTCTGCATTCTAAAGGTTTTTATCACCGATAAGAAAGCTTTAAAACAGACTATTGAAGCATATTGCCTGTTTGCTCTCGAGCAACCAACCAATACTTCTAACAGAACTCATTGCATTTTAAGGTTTAAGAGTGTGAGGTTGAAGGGGGAATGATTTAAAAGGTAGGCTAATACAAGTTTAAATAGAAGTAACTTGTTGGAGCTTTCTTAATTTCCCCATCCCCTTTGCATTGTCCCACACTTTCTTTTTAGATACACACCTTTGCCAAATGATCTGCTGATAGTTCCAACAGGCTGTAATGTGGCTCATAATTCACCTGTGGAATTTCAAAGCTGACTCATTTTGAACCAATTTATACATGGTCCAGGCTGCTATTTAAACAACAATCCGTACATTCTCAAAACCAAGCTGCCATTTAATGTGGCTTGATTCTAAGCCCAATACTTATTCATTTGAGGGGGTTGCCTTTATCTGACTTTGGGGAGAATTGTTTCGCTAACACCTTTAAACCTGGATGTTTTTTGTTTGTTTTACAGTGCCTGGTCCTGTACCAGCAAAATCACTAAAAGGAACTCCCTTTGAAGACAAGATCTTCCTAAACTGGAAAGAACCTATGGATTCAAATGGGATCATCACACAGTATGAGGTATTTTTTTAAAAAAAATGGCTGCGGTGTCCTGTGTTTGGAGTATGCATGTGAATCTTGGGGATGATATGTACATTTTCCCTAAAACTTTAAGCTATGCTTCATTCTTCACTGGCATGCTGGTCTTCAACTTAGAGTGTTGCCAATGTAGTTGGCCTGGAAAATGTCTCCAGTCAAAATCACCCTGATCCATATTCAAAACTGGCTCCGAGGAATCCAAAAGAACTATTTCTTCCATTACTTTGTAGGAATGAGATATGTTATAAGTTTGTCCCTTCTTTTGAGTCTCTTTTTGGTGCATGGGAATTTAATGATAAACTTAATCTTTTTTTTTTTTAAGTGAACTCTTTTTCTGTGCAGAACAGTAAAGTATATAATAATGTGAATCTATTCATGGTGCTGTCCACACAATGACTGACCTGAGCCTGAAATCAGTATGTCATAATAATCCTTAAATTAAATTACAGAATGGTTGAACTGTTGTGATTAAAAAATATTAAGAACTCCTTCTAAAATTATATAATGATACAGGCTTGCTCTGCCAATAGACTTTTAATAAATGATGAAACCTAGAGCTTAAATTTGTAACTTTGATTTAGATCTAGTAGCATTAATATATAGCTTTCCTGAATCATGATTTAATGGAGCCCTGTCCAGTGAAGGCTACAGGTAATATATGTGAAAATTTATTAATAGAAACCTGACAATTCTAGTCTTCAAGGTAACGTGTTTTTCCCCTTCAAGAAACTCTGAATGCAAATTCTGGTGATTCAAAAAGCAGCAACAGTGGTTTGATGAATGAGCCCTTGGGGAAGGAAGGGAAAACAATAATTTTGCACCAAATTTCCTGTGTATCTATCATACTCTGAACTGGGCAGCCTTGACAATATTACTTTTCTGCTTAAAAAACAAATTAAATACTTACAGGAGGCAGTTAAATGCCATCATATTTTACATGACCTAACATATTTCTGCTTATCCTCATTAGCACTTTACATTCTTGAATTTCACCACTATACTAATGAAAAAGCTCAGTATATCATGGGTGGGCTTGAATACATACGTAGTACTGCTTCACTATATTTAAGTAGTACTTTTTAACAAAAAGAGAGGAATGAAGGAAATAAGCAGCTGTCTGCCACTTTACGATAACAAAGCAAATAAGAGGGCTTCCTGCCTTCACCTGGATGACAAGATTTGAAGTAGATATCTGATTTTGTAGGGAAATTAGAGAAAGCCCACACAACTTGTGGCTCAACAGCCACAGTAGCCTGGGGTCAGGGGACAGGACCGTTTTCTGCTGAAGGGCCACGTCCCCGGGTGATGAACCTTTGGGGGCCTACATGTCTGATGTGCCAGAGGCAAAAGTGGTTGAGGAAATGGATGCAACTCTTCCTGTGTGTAGTGGACTATATTCCAGCCAGGCATGTTTCTATTCATGTGCGCGCACACACACAACCCATCCAGGCAAGTAAGAGGCATGTTTACAGTTAAAGGACAATTTCCGATCAGGCAAAAGTACTTGAGGATGATGCAGAGCAGGGCTGCTGAGGGAACATGGTCTGGGGAATGTCCTGGGAGGGTCTGGGGTTCCCTATTGTAAAGCCTTAAATTAGTGAAATGTAGAACCATTTTGTTCATCTCATAAAAATTATACAAGCCAAAACATTTTTTCTGATGTTATAGATTGATTTACCGAGCTTACAGAGAGCCAAGGTGGAGAGATTGCCGTGTGTCCATTGCCACTATATGCTAAGTTTGGATTTGAAAGCAAGGTTCTTTCGCTGAAATCCAGAAGCTTAATCTAAATGTTTCACTGATTCTCAGAAATTCCTTAATCCTGCCAGGGATCCTGCTAAGACTCTGAAATTGTTTCCACAGGTCAGTTACAGCAGCATAAGATCATTTGATCCCGCAGTTCCAGTGGCTGGGCCAGCTCAAACTGTGTCAAAGCTATGGAACAGTACACATCATGTCTTTTCCCATCTACATCCCGGGACTACCTACCAATTTTATATAAGGGCCAGCACAGTGAAAGGATTTGGGCCAGCTGCGGCAATCAATGTAACCACCAATATTTCAGGTAATGGCAAGCACACACACACAAATATTTTTCATATTCTTACATTTGTTTTTACATTAATTCTTCCCCCTTCCCTTCAGGGAATAGTAACAAAACATGCTGACTGCAGTCAAGAGAAGATCATTGGGTTTAGTTAAACATGCAAGGAGGGGATATTGTGAATGAGAGTGCAAGCTGCATCCCATTCCCCTTGCTCTGTGCATGTTCAAGGGTGATTATCTGCAGTGGGGAAGCCTCCTTTGTTCATGGAGGTAACTGCATGTTTGCAGCCCTGATAACTCCAGGCATGGGAGCCTCCACGACTACTGGAGGCTTGCTTGATGAAGACAATTGCCCCTGAACATGTGGACTATGATTGAGATGGAGGGCAGTGTAGAGAGAGAGAGACCTACTGCACTCATGCAGTCTCCTCTCCTTGTGTGTTAACTTAGTCTCCATAATATGGGGGTCGCTAAAGCAGTGCCTGCAGTGCCTGTGAAGGCAGCCTTTGGTGCCCCGGGATAAACCAGAATCCTCAAATTCAAAGCTTTCATTTTTTAACAAATAAAGTTTCTACCGTTTTTAGAACTTGAGGTATGATGCAAAAATTACTTGTCCTTCCCATGCTCCCTCCTCACCCCTCTTTCTCGGTCCACCCTTTCAGCATTTACTTTGCACTCACCTAAAAAATTCCAGTAGAGGTGGGAGAGAGGGAAAAAGGTGAAGCATGCATGTATAAGAGAAACACAGAAAGATGTCTATGTGTCTGTGTTCCATATGCATGTCTGCACTCTTTAAGAGTGAACGTGGTATGGCCACCTGATACATCTTTTGCCTGGTGCTGAGACAAATTATCCCTGTTGCTTTTAGACAGCAACAGCATGTGAGTATACGAGTGTGTATGTGTGTGATTAATATTGTGCGATCTCCACAATTGGGACCAGCAGGACATAGCTAACTTCCTGTGGCAAGCCTATTGTTCAGTTTGGTCCCCCCAGAAAATTTTGTGCTATACCACACCCTCAGGCCATGTTGTCCCTGGTGCCCACAACACTTTCTTAAATTTAATAAATGTGACCCCTGCACAATGAATGCCTAAAAAGGGTTAATGAGTGAATGGTAACAGGTAACAGAGTGTTTTGCACAGTGTTCTGTTCAGGTGGGCAAACACTTAGAAAGGAGATTATATACACAGTCTGAAACCCACATGGAGTAATTTGGATTATTTTGCATCCTTGTAGAAGAATATCCAACCCTCTTGTGCAGTTATACATACACACAGAATCATAGAGGTGTCGAGCTGGAAGGATATGCAGGAATGCTTTTGCCCAATGTGGGGCTCGAACCCACAATGCTGAGATTAAGAGTCTCATGCTCTACCAATAGAGCCATGTTCATGGTACTATTTATATAGCATGAGCTGTGTGTTTAATTTCATTTATTTTACTGAATAATGGAAATTGGTTTAGGGTGCTAAAATCCAAACCGAGATGCATAAATGAAAATAATGCACCTCTAATTTAAGGTTGTTCGTCGTTTTATATTAAACTTTACTGTGTTTGCTATCTTTTATGCACGACACAAAATAGGTAAGTAGAGTTTGCATATGAGTAATATCAAATAGGAGGCTAAAGCACCCACAGTTCTTCAATCGCGTAGGAGAAGGTTCTGGGCTTGTTTGGAAACTGAGCTTTGTAGAGCTACTGGAAGTGAGTGCTGGAGTCCTGGGAAATGAATGCAATGTGTTACATCAGCTGTTGTTTCTCTGTATTATCAACATGGCCGTTAAGGGACACACACATTTTGCCATGCCGATACAGATTTTGATTTTGGGCCAGGTTGCTATACATTATTCACTTAAAGAGCATGGGACGTTTACTGGTTCCAGCTATGTTGGGAGATTTTCATAAAATGTTCCTGCTTTTTCATTCTCCTACACTGTGCCATGGATTTAATGCAACAGATGATGTTGGACTTCACATTCCATCAGCCCCAGCCATCATGGCCAGTGTTGAGGGACTGCAGGAATTGTAGTTGTAGATGGGGAAGTACCATAGCTCAGTGGTAGAGCATCTTCTTTACATGCAAGAGGTCCCAAGTTCAATCCCTGGACCCTCCAGGTAGGACTGGGTGACACCATTTTATGAAGTCCTGGAGAATTGGTGCCAGTCACTGCAGACAATATTGAGCCAGGTGGACCACTGGTCTGACTTACTATTGGACAGCTTTCTGTTTCCCTGTGTAGTCTGAGAAGGTTATGGAGACACCATGTTAGCTTAGCCCTGAACTGATACATTTTGAAATAAATGGGGTAGAATCCAAAGTAGCGCTAAATCTCTTGTTCCATCAGTGCAAGAATGGAAATCCTTATGCTTTCTAGGGGTTTATAAAACCTTCTCGAGCAAATTTGGGGATGCTGTAGGGCATACGCAGTGAAGGAGAAAGTCCTGTTGTGCAAGCAGAAATCTTTATGCTGACGGGACATAGTTGGTTGTTGGTTATCACGGCAAGAAATGAGACATGGGATCATGAATGACTTCTGTATTCAGAAGGAACAAGTATTCGCTAGGCTCCCATGTGTATGGCAACTGCAAATCTTATTTTTTTTCTGTCGAATACCGAAATCAGTTCATAATGGCAGTACAGAGAGCAGATAGCCTGTCTCTACAGAAAGCTGTATAAGGGTTAGAAGAGAGTCAGAAGCTGCTTGCTGCTGAAATGCAGGGTATCCTTTCATTTGAATAGTGGTTCTTTATCACCTGGCAGCCTCAACAGAAAAGTGATTCTGTTTCAAAAGGCTGGGATTAAACATCAGGTTTCTAGAGATGAATAATTTAGGAAGGATAGATTCAAGTTTTCAGAAGACCTGAAAAATTATAATTACCGTATATACTCGAGTATAAGCATTTTTTATGCTGAAAAAGCTCCCTTCGGCTTATACTTGAGTGAGGGTCCTTGTCTGTGGTGGTGGAGGAGGAACGAGCAGCGCGAAAACAACCCTTTCGGGCTACTTGCTCTTCCTCCGCCGCTGCTGCCACCAGCCTCTGCCTCTTGGCAGCACCCTAGGTAGGCAGGGGGACGGGAGGGGCTGGGGGGAGAGGTTTGTGGTGTGGTGAACTGGCTTATACTCGAGTCAATAAGTTTTGCCAGTTTTTTTGTGGTAAAATTAGGTGCCTCAGCTTATATTTGGGTCGGCTTATACTTGAGTATATACGGTATTTTACCATGTACAACTGTTAATGCTAATGTTTTTTATCCTGAGCTGCCATATCACTGTCACGTCATTTCATAATTTCAATCAATTAAGGGGGGGATTGATCATGGTAGAACAGTTTATACATAATAGATACACAGTTCCACAGTATGCTCCCGCTGTTAGTTGAGGAGTATTTCTTATGCAACATTTGTTGAAACACTGAATAAAAATGATCATGATATCTTCAGATCATAAGAGTCTACCCACAAGTTTTTCATTTCCATTCATTAATGTACGCAAAAATTTATATACCACTCTTCTAGTCATTATGCATCTCCCAGAACAATTAAAACCAATATGCAATGCATTCCAGAAATACAGTAGTATTCTTCATCCTCATCATTCACTTTCTTCACAAAAACGAATCAAAGTAATTTACCAAAACCATAAAACACTAAAACAACCAACTATCTGATCACAATTGAGAAATGTGATTGTTTGTACATTGTAGAAACTGGTAAAAAAGCTATGTGTTTTGGCTGATTTTATTTTTCTTCTGATTAGCTCCCACATTACCAGACTATGAAGGTATTGATGCATCTTTCAATGAAACAGCCATCACTGTGCTCCTGAGACCAGCACAAGCCAAAGGAGCTCCTATCAGGTAAAAAACAACCAGCACCACAATATGCAAACCATTCTATAGTTAAAGCCTATGGCTAAGCATTTAGATCAGGGTAGCCAACTACTAGGGACGCGGGTGGCGGTGTGGGTTAAACCACAGAGCCTAGGACTTGCCGATCAGAAGGTCGGCGGTTCAAATCCCCGCTACGGGGTGAGCTCCCGTTGCTCGGTCCCTGCTCCTGCCAACCTAGTAGTTCGAAAGCACGTCAAAGTGCAAGTAGATAAATAGGTACCGCTCTGGCGGGAAGGTAAACAGCGTTTCCATGCGCTGCTCTGGTTCGCCAGAAGCGGCTTAGTCATGCTGGCCACATGACCCGGAAGCTGTACGCCGGCTCCCTCGGCCAATAAAGCAAGATGTGTGCCGCAACCCCAGAGTCAGTCACGACTGGACATAATGGTCAGGGGTCCCTTTACCTTTACCTTTAGCCAACTACTGTCCCTCCAGAAGTTGTTGGACTACAACTTCCATCATCCCCATCTAGTATGGGTAGTGGGCAGAGATGATGGGAGTTGGAATCCAACAGCATCTGGAAGGCCACAGGTTAGCTACCCCTGATTAGATAATAAAATAATTTTTCAATTATCAGTAATCTTAGCTATTCAAGGCCTGATCCATTGAAAGGCTTCTTTGATTTTGTCAAGTTCTTGTTTAATTATTTGATCTTGTACTACTATTAGCATTTGTGAAATATGGAAGATGCTCAATCCAATGCAGATAGGACTTGACATTTGAGTAAACCTGCAACCCTTATATGGTGATATGTTCCTGGTTCAGCAGTAAAAGACTTGGGCGGTCTAGGTTCAAGTCCCCTTCTGCCATGGACATACCATGAGGCTATGGGCCCAGATGATGTGTCCTGGCCTCAGTTCCCTGTTGTTAAAAAGTGGAGTAGTCGTGGGGATACATATGCATAGGGGATAATGCTCTGCAACCACACTTGCCAGAAGAATTAGGAAAATTTGCACAACCTTGTTTGCATATGAAGCAAGATGGTGTTTCTTGCTTCAGCAAGTTCTTTGAAATGACTTCTGTAGTCTGGATATCTCTATTTAAAAATCTGTGTTTCACCTCTAGACGATGTGGCGAGTGTTGTTTTTGTTTAATTTTCGTAGCTTTTGATGTTAATAGTTTGTGTTTCTATTACTTATTTATTTAAACTGATATCCTGCCCTTCTTCCAAAGGAGTCCTGGTGGCAAACACAGAAAAGTTAAAACATTACAGTTAAAAATAAAATGAAAACATATGGAAAACATTTTTTTATTTATTTTTAAAAAGCAAATGTTAAAAACATTTTAAAACATTTTTAAGAGAATCACATACCCTCACATGTAATGGTTTCAAACTTGTCAGGAATATAGTCTTTCAACCTGGGTAAACATGAATGTTTTTATGCTTCTCCTGAACATTGTTAATGAGGAAGACAGAGAGAAGCACCTTGCCAGGGAGTACCATATTTTTCGTTCTATAGGACGCACATTTCCCCCTCCAAAAATTAAGGGGAAATGTGTGTGCGTCCTATAGAGCGAATGCAGGCTGCGCCGCTAAGCCCAAAGCCAGAACAGGAAGACGGAGCACTGCGGAGCACTCCGTCTTGCTGCTCTAGCTTGGGGACGGCTGCGCGCAAACCTCTGCAGGGCAGCGGGGTGCCTTCACCCTGCTGTCCTGCAGAAGCTAGCAAGGCTGTTCCCAAGCCAGAACAGCGAGACGGAGGGCTCTGTCTCGCTGCTCTAGCTTGGGGACGGCTGCGCGCAAAGCCTCTCCAGGGCAGCGGGGTGCCTTCACCCCGCTGTCCTGCAGAGGCTAGCAAGGCTGTTCCCAAGCCAGAACAGCGAGACGGAGGGCTCCGTCTCGCTGTTCCAGCTTGGGGACGGCTGCGCGCACAGCCTCCCCAGGCAGCGGGGTGTCTTCACCCCGCTGCCCTGCAGAAGCTAGCAAGGCTGTTCCCAAGCCAGAACAGCGAGATGGAGGGCTCCGTCTCACTGTTCTAGCTTGGGGATGGCTGCGTGCAAACCTCTGCAGGGCAGCGGGGCGCTGCGCTCCAAAGGCTTCAGGGATCTTTGAGGCTGGCGGTGGGGGAAAGCAGCGCTTCCCCCCACCGCCAGCCCCACAAGCTCTGGTGAATGTACCTTGAACACACCTTGTTTTAGAGGGGGAGAACAGGGAAAAAAAATTTGGTCCTATGGTCCGGTGCGTCCAATGGAGCGAAAAATACGGTACTTTGCACAAATGGGGAGCTGCCACCAATAAGGCCCTGTCACTGGTCAACAATTCTGCATTCAAGCTGCTGTTTAAGCATTGAATGTGAGCCATTGAATATGAGCAAACTCCAGAACTCTTCCATATGAGGAAGAGACCCCTATATGAGAGACCCTCCTCACATAGAGGAGCTTTTTATGGTGCAGTAGTATCTGCTCCCTATTTACTATGGCACTAATTTCTGCTCTTTTTAAAACAATTATCTGGCTTAGCTTCAGGTTACTTAGTTGTGGCAAGATAAGTCCCAGCTGACGTTCTGAAACCAGAACATCTCAGGATGCATTTTTGACAGCCCATTTCTATTCTCAATCTCTCGGGAAAATGCCAATGTTAAACAGTTCAACAAACTTACTCAATTTAAATATGCAGCATCTAATTATGTGTTTTAGGAGTCAGCCTTCCTGATATAAATGCTCCCTTGTATTCCTTGCCTGCTTTGTGCACATGCCTCTTGAAGCAGATGTTTGGGTAATCCAATTCAAATTTGCAGGTGCCGTCAATCATTCCTTAAGATGCAACATGCGGCGGTAGTCACAGCTCTAATCATGACATAATCGTGTCTTGCCTGCCAAGCGTTATCTCATAATCTCTAGTTTTCTTTATGGCCTCCTGAAGTTGTAAGCCAAACAGCAGACATGAAATACAAAGGGAGACTGGATGAATCAGTATTTATAATCAGATATTAAGCCTTACTTTTACCAAGCTGGAGGCTCTCAGCTCAGCCAGTAAGGAAGAAACATTTATTCATCAGTGAGCTGCAAAGAAAGGTGATTTGCTTATCAGTGGCAGCATGCACTATTTAAGCCTATCTACTGAACAGTGTGCCCGAAATTAATAAATAAAGGTGGCAAGTAATTGCCAATGAATGATTATGAGGACCAACTAATCCAGAATGCGGCAGCTAGACTGGTGACTGGGAGTGGCCACGAGACCTTATAACACCAGTCTTGAAAGACCTACATTGGCTCCCAGTACATTTCT